ACTTTATTAGGAGGAGTATGTTTAGCTTGTTCTGTATCTTGCATGCTACCCTGAGTCTCCCAGTGTAAAAGAATTGTAGGATATGAAAGATTTGAGGCCAACTATGACATTTCTCTTTGACATTAAGCTAACCAAGCCCCTTACCAGAGGCCAGTGAAACACAATAGGGGTGAACTGACAACCTATTTCTCCGCCAGGCGCTGTGGGTCCCACTGAGGTGACATTTTCCAGCCACTATTTTTGTTGTTGTTTTTGTTGCTTGTCTCTCTCTTTTTCCCTTCCTACTTTTCACATCACCCCTCCAATAGCACCTCCTCTTGCCCCCACACGCCATGTGCAAAAACTTCAAACGGCAAGATCAAAACAACCTTCATCACACAGGCAACTATAGGCGATGGCAAATGTCACATATTGTTACAGCCAGATTTTTTCAGGGGGACAGAATGCATAAAAAGTGGGACTAGTCAGTGACTGCCCGCCACAGGGGACTGAGAGCAGCTTTAGTGATATGAAACAGCCTGTCCTGTTTTGGAAAGCTTTGTGGCCACTTTGTGTCATTGTCTGGCCCTGATCCACATGCTGTGCTGCCCACATTGTACCAAAATCAGTAAAAACATAACTCCCTGTGTTGTTTACACGTGACAAAGGCTCCTCAGGCAAACTGTAAACAACTTAGCCAAACTGAATCGTCTCATTTTTTCTGTTTGATGCTGTTGTGACGAGTAACCTTGCCATGAGAATCAGCTCTTTAGTTTGAGCTCTATGGGCAAAGTTAGCCTCTCGTGTCTTGGGATCATTGCAGGAAAGCGCTTCACCTGTGATGTCTCCTCACTCCCCTGGTTCCAGTATTAGGTTCTCAGCCAGTTAAAGCAGCAGATGCACCTCTATTTTAAGATCTGATATGTGCTGATGCTGTGAGATCTCAGCACATCGCCGTGGCGTCTGGTAGAGGAGGTGCGTTGCAGAAGGCCGGTGGATTTTGAGGGTGACAAGTGAGGATGTGTATAATTGTCCACCTGTCTTGTCATAACCTTCCGTTCTCCTTGTTGCAGAGTGCTGAAACACCTGCACAGGCAGGCAGGGTGCCAGGCTGTCATCACAGATGCTTCGGCCTGTCAAAGTAGCACAGTGCAAGTTTTTGCTGTAAATACACACCTCTTTTACTGGCCCAAATCACAAAAGAGGGTATAACAGATACATTGCCTGACTAAGATGCCCTAGTTTTACCATGAAATGAAATAAAGCCTCGGTTATGTACACTTCCAGGTAGTGAAAATATAGGAACAAAACACTTGTTGCCTCTTAAACAGCAGCTTGCTCATTTGCCTGTTATATCCTATTGGCAGCTTAACACCTGATGATGTGCCAGGTGGTAATATTAGCCTACTGTGTCAAGTTTAAAGATGTCACATTGTGTAATTTATATTTATTTTTAGGCTTTGTACCACAGTCAGGTCTAATGTTTTTCTTTCCTTTATTATAAAATCTACCAAATATTAGTTGTTTTTAATATAATTTGAGGCTATAAACAGAGTACTCCCATCTCCATATATCTTCAACAAATATTTGCCTTAATTCAATGGGACTGTTCACCCCAAAATTAAAAATATATATCGTTTTTCTTACCTGTGGTGCTGTTTATCCATCTACATTGTTTTGGTGTTTTGTTGAGTTTTGGAGATATCGGCCGTAGAGATGCCTTCTCTGCAATTTGATGGAACCAGTTGGCTTGTGGTGCTCAAACAAAAAAAACTCGACAGCAATGTCTCTTTCCAGAAATCATGACCTGGTTACTCAATATGATCCACAGACCTTTTTGTGAGCAGTTTCATGTAGGATTTATTTTCTTTCTACTGAAATACACCTGCCAACAGTAGCCGAACGTTAGCTATCTCAGTTGTGAGCTGCTCGTCCATGAGTAGATGCACGTTTCCTTCTGTGCATTGATACGTAGAAAGAAAAACTCTTCCTACAATTAAGAGGAAATTATGTAGTTTTGAATTTTAGGTGCACTGCCCTTTTAAGTTAATCCGGAGAGGATGAGTGAATACCCAAATTCCCAGCTCAGGTTAGGGAGACCTCCGAAAACTAAGCGCTTATGAATTTGTGAACCTAAGCCCAATGTCTGTCTTGCCATGACTGTTAAAAGTGCAGTTTAAACCTCAGCCCCTTACCTACTTATCTTGTGAAATTATTAGTGCTGCAATTTCTCGAAAAGTACAGATGCATAGACACAATTCTGCTCTCCGTATGTCTAAGTCTTGTTAAGACAATTACAAAATGATACCCTCAGTGGATGAGTTAGTATAATCAACACAGCACATCTCCAGAAGATATAAAGTAGTGTCATCTATCAAATTAGGTTGCTTGATTGAGACCCAAATACTTTAACTATATAAACCACTTATAATAATAATTTATACCGATAATTGATCTACCTAATGTGTTACTGCTGCATATGAGACCTGCATTTGATTACTGTATTGCAAAGAGGTATGTAGACTCCTCCAATATTTTCTGGCTCCACATGTAATGAGTATGGATTTGGCACAGAAAATAGATTTTTGTTGTAATTGTAGCTAGTAGTTTGTTGTCTTTATTTTCATTACACATTAACTGGAAGCAGGTTGTATTGTGTCATGTCTTGTCTCTGTTAAGCAGCTGAAGCAGAACCAAATGACGTTATTATTCAATGACAGAGTAAAAACATGAGTCCTTAACGTTAACATCATTACTGACTCCACCATCAGAGTGACACTTGCCATCCACCGTGCTCTGGTGCTGTCTACCATCTCCATCGCGTGAGCCACATGTAGGAATTACATCTAAGTTAGCCATATCACTTCCTCTGACATATAGTCGATATAATCTCTCAACCCGCACATCTTGAACTTATTACAGTATATGTACAGTAGCTGCTTATCTGTGACAGGCAGATCACTTCCTCAGGCCTGAATGGAGATGAAGCAGCTCTGGTTAAGCTCAACCTGTGCTCAAATTAAGGCTCATCTGTTTAACTAACCGCAACAAGCGTCCAGAACACTGCCGTATGTGTGCCGTTGTGTGTATGCCTACATACTGTAGCCTGGATGTTCATGATATTCTTGTGCTGCTGTAGCCTTTATGTTAACATATCAGCATTCAATTGTCCCTTCCCAAGTGCCACCTCTTTTTGCTTTGTGCCCTAATAACAGTTGAGCAAACCTCGGCCACCTTTCTCCTTTCCTGTACATAGATATGCTATGTGCTGGGCTCATCCATGTTGAGAAAGAAAATCACATTTTAAAGATAGTTAAAAGATAAAAGCGCATCTTAACACATCTTTAGTTAGTTAATGTTAGCAAAATTGTTTTGCTAACAATAAATGTAGTATAGCTAGCTAGTTAGAAAGCGTTTTGCTAACATTCGATAGCTAACTTAAGATGTGACTATTGCTGCAGTCCATTATGCTCAGAATTTGGAAAAAATTTATCTCTAACACGGAAAAGTGCAATGGAACATCATTCAAGCCGGAATTTCAAATAGGAAAACTCGGGCGAGATTTTCTGACATAAAGTCACAGCAATATGGCAGTGCACACAGTGGACAGTAAGCAAAATGAACTTCATAAAATGATTTACTAGTGTTTGTGTTGTAAGTAGCAATTTCCATTGCCGGTCAGTTGATTTGTGCTTGATCGACGCAAGCATGCGGTACTAGCCTAATTCTCTTAAAACTATCATCCTCCAAAAGTATATGTCACTTTTCACAATGGGTTCGACAGAGGGTCTTGCTCAACTGTTATTGGAGCACAGAGCAAAAAAGGGCAATAACGAGTTAGAAAGGGGTCAATTTAGACCTGAGCCATATTTGACTGGTGCAGTTTAGTATCATGAAAGCAACTTTTTAAAGGGTGAAACCTTTGTAAATGTAACACAAAACACCATTTGGGGCTCTTGTTACTGTCAAGCATTTCTGTGATTAATGAAATATGATAATAAAATGCCTGCATAGTTTTAAGATGCAGAACATCCATAATGCTGTGACAGCACAAGCCTCTGGTGGTGTTTATGTCTAGAAGCGAGGTCATACTGAGGCTGCTCTTGTGACTGATCAGGGTTACAGTCACCTCTGGCCCAGAGGTCAGGGGTTAAACACATGGGGAGAGGAGCCCTGCTCGGATCAACTTGTGACCTTTCATTCAGTGATGATGCCATCAGTTAGAGCTCTAGTCTACTCAGTATTTTACACTTTCATGCAACTTTAGACTTAATTAGTGCGGTATATGACTAGGAGTCACAATGAAAATTACATGACAAGGAACATTATTGTGATTTGATATGTTTTAACTTGTGTACTTGTACACCACTGTCAGTTTTAGTTTGTGGATGCATGCATAGGTGGAATAATCCGGTGCCACGCATAAATATGGTACATATGGGTTGTTAGTTATTTTCATTACTGATTAATCTGCTCGTTATTTTCCTGATCAATCAATGAATCATTTTGTCAATAAAATACCCATTATAATTCTCCAGAGCCTGAGGGGATGTCTTGGGTTTTTTTTTTTTTACCAAGTTTACTATCATATACGACAAGAAAGCAGCAAATCGCACTGGAGAAGCTGGAACCAGAGAATGTTTGGCATTTTTGGAAAATGAAAGGGTCAATTGATTTTGAAAATATTTGCTGATTTAACCTAGTCAGAAAATCATCTATAGTTTAAATTGGACTGTACGCACCAACCAGGATTCTCTCAGACATTAGCACAGATACGGAGCATAATGGCTTTGAGGCAAACACCATAATTTTCCTTTAATTAACTTAACAAATAAGTAGAAGGTCTTTTTTTATGTAAAGGCTTGTTCTAAAAGTGAGGGATGGTTGAACTTGACTGAAGTGTAACATGTTTTACCATCGGCACAGCACTGCCTCAGAACCTGACCTATAGCAAGCTGTGCTAATGTGTAGGTTTTACTGATTTCTGCAGTTAATGTTCTCTCTTCTGTTCTCTCCTACAGGATGCCTCCATCGCCCATCGTTTTCATCTGATGCGGGAAAAACACCCTGAGAAGTTCAACAGCAGGTGAGAGGATAGAAAACAGCTACAAGGAGTAAACCACACTGGCACTGCACAGTCAAAGGATAGGGGTATTTCACATGCTGTTTTGCCAGTCAAACAGACTGTTAACCTTCCCCTGTCCCACGACATCTGCACCATTAGCTAACAAGCAACCTCATAACCATTTAGTGACCTCACACTTTAATCTGGAAACCCAATATCACACTGAGCCGCAATCGTCAGCAATCAATTGCAGGACAAAACCTGCCTGCATAGTGGAATCAATATATTGGCAGTGCCTCGTTTGTGTTATGTGCTATGACATGAGAGTATGTGAAGTCAATGTCCAACTATGCTGGAGCCATGGTTTCCATAGTCCAGCCACAGATGTTTGGAATACCAACCATTATCTGTTCATTTCTTTGTTTGCTCAGGTAAAGTTCTCAACTAATTATGATAAGTCAAATGAGGAGTTAATTGTCTAGAAGCAATGCTGTTCCATTGCAGGAGAATAGGATGTAGGCAGATGAAGGCAATTATGACGTAAATGGAGGTTTGCGTCATTCTAATAGCAGAGTAGGTATCTTCAAATGGCAGGTGGTGCAGACAAGTGCATAGCCGTCTAATTAATTGTTACATAACAGTGGAAGCTGGCTCGGTCTGACTATACAGTGAGAGAGGTCAGAAGAGGGAGTAACAGCAACCCAGAGTCAGATGAGAAGAAATACCTCGGCGATGACGTACTGCCCTTAGCATCAAGAGTTCAATCAAGTTGACTTCAACCTCGTCACACCAGCAAGATGCGTACACAAGAGACCTTTTCAGTCATGGAGTCTGTAACATGGCTGGCTTTATCAGCTACAAGGCTTTCTGTTACACATTTGATGTTGGATAAAGCTCCTCCAGAGCCACAGAATA